ACATTCACATGAAAGATTGTAGAAGCAGTTAGTGCACAACTCTGTGAGTTTTGAGATATTTGTATGTGATGGAAGAACTCAGATATTTGCTTTTACCTTCATTCGCAGCGTAAGTGATGTTTTTGGTTTCTTCGCGGTCATAATGCTTTCTTCTAACCAAAAATCTACTGCTATTCATAAAACCTGACCTGACCTTATGCTCATCCTTGCCGAAATAATCCTGTGAGATTCAAGTTATTGTGCATTTTGAACAAAAAATAAGCGGAATTAAGGTGAGAGCGGCGCGCACGCAAAATCGCTCCTGTCCCACGCGGTGAGAATGCCAAGACACGCGATGTCGTCTATTACGCAATTGAGCTGTAAGATGTGATTACAATTGTATAAGTGGCTTACCAAACTTTTGATAACTTTACGTTCCCATTATCACTTTTTTACACAGACTCCGCCAAGGAAGAGGAGCTTAGCAAGGAAACTTGCCCACCTTCTGTCAAGAGAGAGGAAAATTTGCTTAGCTGGATGCCTCAATCTCTTCAGAAGAAAACCCTTCTTTCGCACTTTTTGGTCAACTGAAATGCTTCTCAACATCGGCCAAGGGCTAGCGGATATTCTACCTCAGCGTCATGCCATCGTGAGTTCAAATAACCAGACGGTCTGACTCACTCCTGCACGTAGCATTTCATCTCACGAAGAGCGAACAATGGCTCAGTGACAGGCTGACTTTTCAAGATGAAAAAGTGTGTGAGACGTCTTGAAGAAAGTAAGCGCTATTTCGGGTATCAGATCTCGGGAATCAACTCTATGGAGATGTCATCGTAAATAGGCATATTTCAGATTAGCAATAGGTGGCTCATCTTCCAGTATCGATCAGATCATCGGCACATCTATGTAAAGTTCTTCTGGCAGAACAGGGGATGTCTTATGTTTGTCAAAAAATGCCGTAGAAGATAAATTTGCCGCCTTTGTTTTGAGCTGAAACATAGCTCCTGACTTATTGATGAACTCTTCCGGTCGAAAAATACCATCGCACAGATTTATATAATGTACAATGCGTTGGCTTCGTTTAGAGAATCCAGATTAAATTTTCAATCGATTTAGTGCTCAGAAAATGCATGTATTTCATCGATTTACTTGGCATTCCTTATTGTATCTGGTTTCTGTTTCTTTATATGTGATGCCGTACACCCTCCAAACTTAATTTTCGAGAGGACGACTTTATTGGCAGGAATGCTATACTTCAGACGAGACCTGACGACATTTTCATCGTTGAAGAGCGCTCGAAGATCATCCGCTCGAAGCGCATTGCGACAAACATTTGAAGTGTTGAACAGAAAGTGCAAGTCGATAAAGTTAGCAGCTAAACATTCCTTCTCCAGATGGCTTCCTCCCATTTCTGAACACTAAGATCAAGATCACGGATGGTCAGATTAGCACCATGTGGTACAAGAAGCCGGCATCCAAGAACATACTAATCCATGCGAGAAGTTGCCATCCTGTCTACATGAAGCTGAATGTGGTTCGCCACATGAGCTCCACATCTTATAAGCCGGCCTCCACGAATCTCGGAGACATGGCGGCGGGTTCATGAAATTTTGCGGCGAAACGGTTATACCGAACACTCCACTAGTGTTATCTTTCATTACCGACTAGTTCGCGATAGATGTATTCGCGTCGAAAAGCGATCACGGCTCCAAATAAGCCTGCTGTTTCGTCCACCTAATACTTCAGGACGCCTTCTAACATCTTCACGTTTGTACGAGAGTATGTGAAAGAGTAAACTGTGCAATCTGTTGAGAACATGAGGCGCGTCAAGAAAAATGTGTGATGTATAAAGTGGTCTGCCTCACCCGTAATTTGATATCGGAGGAACATCAAGGCCACTAAACGAGAGGACTGATGGACAACGAATAGCTTCACAAAGTCCACAGAGCTACCCGGTAATCTGATCCCCGGACACCGTACAATCCTGCATTTGCAGAAAAGACCGCTTGGGCTTTTAGTCTACAATCTTCGCAGAAATGGGGAATCTTCACAGAAATGGGGTAGATCCAGTCGAAAGGAAAATATGGAGAAGCTTCGAAATAAGGCAAAACAAGCCACAGATAAACAACAAGGAGGAGATGAAAGTGGCAGTGAGTGTGATATCAGCACATCACGTGCACTATGAAGGAGAACGTGACAAGGTCTCGATCGGTCTTTGCTCCGGCATATATATATATAGATATTTACGCGTATATATATTAGGTTGGCAAGAAAGTTCTGCGACACTCTTTCTAAAATTTTCTTTTTTTCTGAAAAATTCATAGGTAACATTTATGACTAACAAATGGTAGAGCATTCTCGAGGCTTCAATCCACGAGGTGGATATAAGTGCTGCAGTCAGTAGTTATCCAAGAAAATTTTGAAAAACTCGTCGACCAAGTTAAAATCCAGCTCGAGTCACTGGCTTGAATGTCTACATAACTACGGATTCGTGTCAAAGACCCAGCACTATCTGCAATCGCTTCAACAGGCATGTCGTTCACCGCTACAATGTGTTTCACCTTTACCAGCGCTTCCGATCTTTTGATATTTTTATAAGAAGCCAGCAGCGTCCCTACACTCCATTACAGGTAGGGCTCTTACAGAAGCTCCACTACATATCCTTCGTTATGGGCACCATTGTGTAGGTAGAGGCCTAGGCTGTGGAATACCAGAAGCTGGCCGAGGCAGCTCGTCAAGAGCCCTCGTACCGCGACAATATTCATTTCTTTCATGACATTGCGAATCACCATGATCCGAAATGAGCCCGGTAAGAAATTCTGGAGTTGCGGCAAGATTTCTTTCCTCTCTTAGCGTAATCCCCTGGTCGAGCTGTAAATGACTGCTACCTATCCTGGACCTTTAATCATCATCTTGATAACGAAATAATTAGACGATCAACTCCAACTCGGAAGTGAGGTCGCCTCCTTTCTTGACCCGCACTCCGCTGGGTTTTGGAAAAGGCGCATCAGGAAATTTTCTGAGCGTTGAAGACAAGTGGTGGACACTCATGATAGAATATGACCGGTCAGGAGTTGTAAACAAAAAAGATAGAATTGAAATCAAAAAATTGAAAAAGTGTCGCAGGACTTTCTTGCCAACCTAATATATTATATATATATTATGTATATATATATATGTATCTTAGGTTGGCAAGAAATATATATATAGGGGGAGGGCAAAAAAAAAAGGTCACTTTGCCTATGGCGCACATCATCAAATTTTTCTTCGCACAGAATGCCGCAGCTAATGAATGTTTTACGGCAGAATATTCCTTAGGTGTCCCCCCATAAGCAGAAGCAGCCCCTACTTCAATGCCCTCACGGTCTTCAGAATATGACGTCATCTGCCGTCGCCGTCAAGCTCAACGGGGCTTACCGTAATCGCTCCGGCCTGAAGCTGCAACCTAATTTCTTCAATCGGTTAAGCGGTGAAATAGCTTCCCAGAGACACTAATAGCTGCTGAACGATGGCAAGACGGCTTATTGACGCGGCGGCCCGCTCCTAGGGAGTCGTATACATGGTACCTCGACGACGTCGTTGAGCTCGTACCGTGAACCATGTTTCCGTGGGAAAATCTTCTGATGTCGTGTGTGTAGAAGGCTGTCATGTGACCTTTTGATAGACTTGAATGTGCTCTTTAATATGCAATTGGGCTCATTTGATTTGGTTTCGCAGTTCGAGATTAATTGCGTTTTGAATGTGGAGAGAAGTGACTTTTTTTTTGCCCCCCCCCCCCTGTAGGGAGACGTGGGTTTCTCCTCCTGGGGTAAAGCGTCAACCACAGGGCTGCGCGATCACTGAAGCTTAAGGTTAAGTTTGGATTAAGACTTAGGTTAAGGTTCATGCTTACACAATGGCTTATGCCTAAGCCTATGGTTGGGCCCAGGCTTAGTCCGTAAACTTGCCGGCGTTGACGGGAGTTCCTCAGCAGAGTATTCCCTAAGTGTCCCTCTATAAGTGACGCAGGCCCTCCTTCACTGCCCTCACCGTCTTCAGAATATGACGTCATCTGTCACCGTCGTCAGGCTCAAGGAGGTCTACCGTAAGTGCTTCAGCCTGAAGCTCTTACGCAATTTCGTGAATCGATTTAATGTTGGATAGTTTTCTAGAGGCGTTAGCTCCCACTATACAAATCCCCTCGAAACGAGCTTTCCAAGTATCTTCTTCGAAGACCCCATTGAGCTCGACCAGTGCACCATGTTTCCAGGGCAAATTCTTCTGTTGCCGTCCACGTGGGTGGCCAACATGAAGATTTTCTTATAGAATGAAATGTGCTCTTCAATATTAAGTTGGGAACACTCGGTCTCAATTGAGCAAAGTGTGCTTAAATCCATCTGAAAGTGGAGACAAAATGTCTTTTTTTATTTGCCCTCCCTGTATATACATTATATGTATATACATATACATATATTATATAATTTGTTATTTTCTATGAGGCTTCTATCGATCACCTGGATGTAAGGATCGTGGCACAATCAGAGCAAGAAACGCGTGGCGAGAAAGGTTGATTTAACCTCTCAAAAGGTTCAGGGTTCTTCTCAACTTTCGTTAGCCGTGCTCTCACTTTGAAATAAACCACTTTGCAGTTGAACACGTTGCACTTTGGCTCATAGATGAAAATAAGTGGAAGTTCCTCATCGTGCCTTTGATCTCTGTGTTGGACTTCGATCCACTTTTAGTTTCATTTAGGTCAACTACCTCATCCCTTTTGGGAGTCATCCCTAGGAGTGTTATTCATGTCGAAAATAAATAGAAGCTTCATCGTGGAGATCTGGGAACGAGCCTTTAAAAAATTAGGATTTTGTTGTGTTAGGTGAAGATGAGAAGATCATCTTTTTCTCGAGGCTTTATTAACAACATTTCGGGCATAAGCCTTTCTTCTCAAAGTCAAGGCCCGGGAATAAACTGGTCTACGAGCGCATCGTAGTGATAGTCTCAGTCTGCGTTAAACGACCTTAAAGTTTGGACTGGAAAGCAAGAGCGACAGGAATCCTTCAATAAAGGTGATGTACGGGTGGCGAGCACGGGCGCATCAAATGAAGACAAAGATAACGCGAATAACACCGTCGTTTTGAGAGAGCTTACGGCTTGATCTCCCGCTGTCGGTCGGTGGGTAAGAAGCGGCGGTCTGATGGTTTGCAGGGCCGATAGGTATAGCACCGTTAAAAAATTTGAGGTTGAAACTGAAGTTTGGTCTAGTTGACCAGGTACAACCTTACAGCTTTCCTCCGCCGGATGCCTTTCCACACTAATCGGTTGCGTAATCCCGGGGTCGTTGCTCTGCAAGGCAGTCAGAATCATTACATCTCAGTGACGTAGTCAAAGGCAAGCGATTACGATAAGGAATTTTCGCATCGGGGGAGAACCTTGCGCCACACGGAGCAATTACTTGGCTGCCAAGGAAGCGATGTGTGGCCCTCCCACGGCGAAAGGTGCTGTGGTTGCTGAGCAGGACCCGTGTGACGCTCCGCCCCCAGTGACGTAACGCCCACTAGTTTTGTTGATGATCTGGATGGACTGTTTGCTGTTGGCTTTTCATTTTGGATGATCATTTCCCTTCTAGCGGCTGTATCTTCCAACTTGCCCACGTATTGCCTTATCAATCAGAACACTATGCTTTGTTGGCATGATGGCGGCTATCGGGGTTAACACGTCCGAACAACGTCGTTCTTTACCGTCGCTCATCCATGGTCGAAAATGAAAGGGCAATCAAAGGGGTACTATTTTGCTTATTTTTGACGGATTTCTTTGCTTTTTTCGCCATTGGCGTACTATTGAGACCCCCACGTCCCCTCTAAACCCCTTTGAGATCTATCGTGAATCGCTTCCTTCGTAGGCTAACACCATTAAATAACAAGGAACAGTAAC